TCAAGAATAGTATTTTCAAGGCATGGCCAAGATTTAAAATGGCAGCTGTATCAGTGCAGCCAAAGTTCTGCCGGGTTTTTATGCAGGGCATAGGAAAATGTGGCCAGAGTTTGAATTGCACTGTTGACACGGGCATTTTACTTTTTTGACCAAATGTTAACTTGTTTTGTTCCACAAAAGTGAGGTTTGAAGTTTTTGTTGTGTAGACTGTGACCAAACTAGATGGTTGGAACCAGTCCCACCTTGACTAGGTGCTAGCTATGCTACCCAAGAGGTATTAGTCAGTCCCATCAGGTACGACAAACCAAGAAACCATCTCTGCAGGAAGATAAAGATAAAAGTTTCCCCTCGCACATATGTGCTAATCGTTTCTGGCTCTAGGGGGCAGTGCTTATCTCTGTAACAAAACCGAAGCGCCAGCATTGTCAGAAGACGTCTCCGTGGTTATGTGCATGACTAAATGCCGAAGGCGCACGGAACGCTGTTCCCTTCCCACCAAAGGGGTCCCTATTTTTCTACTTGCATTTTTTACGTCCTTTCAAACTGCTAGGTTGGCAGAAGCTGGGAAAAGTCACAGGAGCTCACTCTGTTATACAGTGCTAAGGATTTGAACCTCTGAACTGCCAACCGACAAGCTCAGCGTCTTAAGCCACTGAGCCACCACATCCCTTCTGCAGGAAAGCGACTACTCATTTCATTGAAATGGCTGTAATAATAGAATCTTGCAATGTTGATTGGGCTGACCCCTTTCTTATATCGCACTCAGTTAGGAAGGTGTTGGCCTGAGATACGTTTTAAATATTATCTCACTGCTCTTGACTTTAAAAAACGAAACTTCATCCTCCTTTTTGCCCAGGCAAGGCAGAGCCTGCATATCTAATTTAGGTCATTTCCCTTACTCTAGAATTGAGGATAAATATGCCTATCTCTATTTATAAAAATGGATCCGCTACTTTTCTGCTTCATTCATAGTACATCATTGAAGGAATTCTGGCTGTTCTTATTGTGTTCACCATCCTGGAGTTTTGCATCGCCATCTCGCTTGCCTCTTTTGGCTGTAAGATGCTTTGCCGAGACACCTTCTCTGAAACGGTAAGTTTCCAACGGAAGAAGGTTAGTGAATCAAAGGAAAGAGATTCAGAAACATGGCTTGCCAATCCACTTAGGTTCTAGTAGTTCATACATTGTACTAAGTGTGCTGTAAAGAAACAAAACAATAATTTGGCTTCACACATTATGCTATGTTGCAATTCCTGAGTTATAAATAGAGGTGGTTGGTTCTCATACTGTGATAAACCTAAAGGAAACAAACCACCTTACACATCTCAGTGAGCCCAACCTTCATCTTTAATTGTCAGAGGAGGAGGAAATGTTTTCACCATCAATTAAGACTTGCTCAGAGTTGCCTTGAACTGCAAAATGGGCAGCAAATGAATTTGATAATAATAATTTTTAAAAATTGACAATAAGTATCACCTAATCTACACACAGTCCAGGCAACACTTTGGGTAGAATCCCGAAAATGTGTGAGTGTATATAGAGCAATTCTTTCTGGGACTTGGGAAGCAGCACCAGCCATGCAAAAACAGAAAAGGATGCAGCTGCTTTAAAGCAGGGGTCACCAACCTTTTGGACCTCAGGGACCACCAAACTCATAATTTTAAATCCTGAGGACCACTAATATGTTTAATTGACGGTGGTTTGCTGGCATTTTCCCAGGGTCCCTGCAGAAAGCAGCAGAGACCATGGGAAAGTCCCCCCAAAAGTCTGCAGGAAAATTCCCTACCCCGTTTTCCTACTGATTGATCTTCTTTATTTGGGATTGCAGGATACCGTTTCCAGCTCTGTTCTCGGGAAAAAGAGAGAGATACTTCTGGCTTCATGCAAGGAAAGCAGCAGAAGCAGCAGAAGTCTTTCTTTCTCTCCCCGAAACTTCACCAGAAATGAGTCTTTGTGAGACTTGTCGCGCTGGCACAGCCTCTTGGAGCAGGATGCCTTGCAGGGTCCCAAAGACTGATTTCTGTAGGAGTTTGGGGGAGAGAAAGAAAGACTTTTGCTGCTTTCCTTGTGTGCAGCCAAAAGCAGAAGCAGAAAGAAGCAGCCCAGTGGCCAGGCAAAGCGCGTGGGGTGCATGGGGCAAGTTCCCCCCCCTGCCCTTTCCCCCCTCCCCTCACTACCTCGTGTTGTTCGCAATGCAAGCGATGCAAGCCTTGTGTTTCTGTGAGCCATGTGGGTACTGCAGCCTTGTGTTCCCATGCAGCCTGAATTAATTGCTTTGGGGGGTGATTTGCGGGTGACATTTCTCTGCAGACCATCACAATTTTCTCACGGACCACCAGTGGTTCCCGGCCCACTGGTTGGCGACCCCTGCTTTAAAGAGAAGCAGTGATGTCTTTATGCTCCAGTGAGAATCCAGATTCCTCTTGGGAATGGAATCAAAAGTGCCTCAAGTCCTTATCTGAAACAAGGAGAGACAGAAGCATTCAACAGACTGTTGGTTAGCTGAGAATTTCTATTCTGAGCTAAAGAATGAGAAATGCAGGCAAACAAGTGGCTTAAAATCTCATTATATATTTCTTTAGGTTGTGGTCATTTATCAGAATGCGACTCCTGCCAATGCTGAACATCCATCCATCGACGTCAAACAGCCAGAATTCCCCTGAGTTGCTTTCCCTTCATGGCAGCTATTCTGGACTGTATCGGCTCCTGCAAAATTAAAGCCTTAAAGCTTTTTAAGGAATTGCATGGAACTTTTTACTCAATGGAATATAAAAATCTTTATTGGGCTAAGTAAAGCATGATGTAAAAGGTCTTGAGAATGTGAATGTTCTTTGTTGCTGATTATAATATTTCTGTATGGGATGGTTGGCACCTGTACCAAGTTATGTGTTGCTGTTGGAAAATGCAGAGTCGGTGGGTTTATGGAACATGTTACGGATAAACTACACTTTTCACATCATAATGGTTGTGTCGAGGCGAGGTCCAAAACTTACTTCAACTAGAGCTTAGCCTAATGTTTTTTGCACCCAGTTACATTCAGGCAACAAATTATGCTTGTGTGAAACCATCTAAGGCTCGTAACACATTCCAGAAATCGATTTGTGGGATGTAACAGGTGTCCCTGGGAATCGTTCCCATAAAAGGCTCAGCAACCATATAATCCCATGAAAATGGAAGAGCCAAATTTATAGCCATAATTTACATTTTTAAGCCAATTGGTTGAGCGATTAAAATACCCGGCTAGAAACTGTGGAGACTGTGAGTTCTAGTCCCACCTTGTAAAGAAAAGCCAGCTGGGTGACTTTGAGTCTCTTGGCCCAACTCACTTTGTTGTTGTGGGGAAAACAGGAAGAGGAAGGAATATCAGCTGTGTTCGCTGCCTTAAATTATTTATAAAGACAATAAAGATAGAATATACATCAGAAGACAAACTTGTTTCCTGCCACTCAACTTTCCATCAGGCCGCCTTTTGCCAATTAAACTTTTCTCATTATTTGAGACATGACTGCACCCAAGACTAATAAACTTGCTGAACATTTGGCTTGCTGTTTTTAATTTTCTTTAAATGCCACAGAAATAAGGAGGATTGTAGGGGGGGGGGGGTCTCATTGTTTGGGATGCTCTGCTTTCTCTCCCCCTCCCTCTCCCCCCCTCTCTCATTTTGCTTCCTCCTCTTCTTTCTTTCTTTCTTTCTTTCTTTCTTTCTTTCTTTCTTTCTTTCTTTCTTTCTT